AGAGAGAGAGAGAGAGAGAAAGAGAGAGAGGGAGGGAGAGAGAGAGACAGAGAGACAGAGAGACAGGGAGGGAGAGAGGGAGACAGAGAGACAGAGACAGAGAGAGAGAGAGGCAGAGAGAGGGAGACAGAGAGGGGGAGAGAGAGAGAGAGAGAGGGAGACAGAGAGGGAGAGAGAGAGAGAGAAAGAGAGAGAGGGAGAGACAGAGAGAGAGACAGGGAGGGAGAGAGAGAGGGAGACAGAGAGGGAGAGAGAGAGGGAGAGAGAGAGAACAAGGAGCTGGAAGGAGCCATTTAGCCCATGCCCAACAGAGACACAGTGTGATGCAGTAGATAAAGGGCTAGGCATGGAATCAAGAAGGCCTGGGTTCAAATCTTGCCTCAAACCCATCCGTGATTGTGGGTCAGTCACTTCAACACTCGGGGCCTCAGTTTCTTAGGATCCTCAGGACCGCAGGATCAGCTGCACAGGACTTTAGAGGTAACTGAGTTCTATCCTTTCATTTTACAAAGGAGAAAACTGAGGCTCCCAGGGGGGAATAAATTGGCCAAGGTCACACATCAAAATGGCGGAGCTAGAATCTGAACCCAAGTCCATCTGACTCCAGAACGCCCTTTTCTTCTTTTCCTGTTGTACCACGCACCATGCTGGCTGAGGGCTCCCTTCCAGAATGAGAGTTGCCCTTGACCAGCTTCAGAACAGGCGACTTGGCTCTGGGCAGGACAGATTTGGCAGTGCTGGCGGTGATGGGCAGAAATGCCAAGAGAGGTAGGAGCTTCCCACACATGGAGAGCCGCTTGCACCTGTCTCGTGTCCTTGCTATTCATAGCCTCAGAGATAGTTGGAGTTGGGAGGGAACTTTGGGATGACCAGATCAAACCCACCCACTTCACAGATGGGGAAGCTTGGCCAAGGTCACACAGCTAGCAAGTGGAAACGCAAGGACAAGAACCCTGGACGTATTGACAGGTCCATATGTTTTCTGTAACAACACCAGGCCCCTGATAAATGGGCCTGGCTGGGCAGAAGTTTGAAGGATGTACCAGGTATCTCACGGTCAGGTGGGAACCTCAGTTTCACGTTGGCTTAGAGCAATATGGGACCAAAGCCCCTCTATCCATGGGATCTCAGATGCAGGGCTGAAAAGGACCTCAAAGTCCAACCCCCTCATTGTCAAGAAACTGAGGCCTCAGGGATTGCAGTGACTTGCCCAAGGTCTCACATAGGACCAGAGAATCTAGGACAGGGAGGGACCCTGATCCATCCTTATTTTTACAAATGAAGAAACTGAGACCGAGGAGGGTGATGTCGCTTGTCTGAAGGAACACAGGTAGTAAGTGACAAAGATTTGAATCCGTGCTTTCTTATTCCAGACCCAGGGCTCTTCTCATTGCCTGTTCAAATTCCAGGTAAATTAAGTCACTCCAAAGGATGAAGGGGTGGGAGTGGAGAGAATCTTCTGGAGGGGTGAGTTTTTAGATAGGTTTTAGAGGAAGGAAAAGAAAATAACTGGCAGTGAAAAGGGAAAGCCGCCAGCTAGAATGGGGCAGAGTCCCAGAGACAGGAATGAACAATATCCATGTTGAGGCTGAGATGAGGGAGATGAGTGGGGCAATAGAGGGCTTGGGAGGCCAGGGAGAAGAGTGTGGGGTTAGGAGCTCTGATAGGCACAGTGAACAAGGACAATTCCAGAGGACTCCTGACAAAATGCACCAATGAATTCAGAATACAGACTGAAGATACATACACACACACACACACACACACATAAACAAATACACATATACACACACCTGTATACATATACATACTTGTACACATATATGTATGTGTGTCTATGTCTATATGTATATGTGTATGTACACATACATATATACATATATTTGTTTGGTCATTTAGTAGTGTCTGACTCTTTGTGACCCCATGGACTTGTCTGTGGGGTTTTCTTGGCAAAGATACTGGAGTGGTTTGCCATTTCCTTCTCCCATTTTACAGAGGAGGAACTGAGGCAAATAGGGGTTAAACAACTTGCCCAAGGTCACACAGCTAGTAAGAGTCTGAGGTTGGATTTGAACTCAGATCTTCCAGACTCCAGGCCAGCGCTTCATCCACTGACCACCTTGCTGCCCCGTCTGTATGTATGTGTATGTGTGTATGCACATATATACACACAAAATATATGCAGTTAATGTGGGAATTTGTTTTGCTTGGCTATATGTATTTATAATTGTTTTGTTTTTCTTGCTTTCTCAGTGGGTAGGAGAGGGGGAGGTGGGAAGGAGAAAATTCAGAATTTAAAATAAAATTGATTTCAAAATAAAAGGAAAGCAAAACCAAATAGTTCATGTGAAAAGAAACCCAAGGAGGTGACAGTTTCTTTATACTCCTTCCCTCCCTCACCTACCCCCCCACCCCAGTCTGATCACACCTGGAATATATTCTTTCCATTCTGGCCAGTAGGTTGAGGCATCTCGTGTCTATGGGGAAGAGCACAATTTGAATGGCCAAGGTACACGAGATGGTGCTACATCAGCATTGATCGAGGGAATGAGGAATGCCTGGTCTGCAGAACAGAAGGCTTGGGAGGGACACGGTCTTCAAGGTTTTGAAACACTCTTCCATGGAAGAGGGATTCCATGGGTTCTATGTGGCCCCAGAGGATAAAATCCCTTTAGGATTCATTTGGTCCTCCACTGGTGGTAGGTCATGAAAGGGCATACTGACTTTTAGCAAATGATAGACTCTTAATAACTGTTTGTAGATTGATTAAATCATCGATTGGGTGAAAGAATAAAGACTTGGAGAAACCCAGGGATGAAGATTTCTCTCTCCCCTATATGGAGCACATTAATTCCGTGTAGATTCAGATGACAAATTAGGACTAGCTGGCTGAGATCAGAGGGAAGCAGTTTTTCGAAGTTTCCTGTGTTGTGTGTGGGGATGTACTGTGGGACCTCTGAGGTCTCCTCTGACTTTAAGGTTTCTTTATTTGATCATTTCATTTTAAGCGTGTCCTGATAATCTTGCCACGTCTTACTGTAAGCTTGTTTTCTGCTCAGCAAATCGGTGGTCACTGGAGGCCAGGGGGACAGCTCCTCTGGCCAGTGTCAAAGATGGACCCCACTCACCGTGCAGGGTGCCTGTAGCCAGGGCTCCCCATCCACTTGCATAGGCAACATCTTGGTTGTCCTAGAACCCAGAACAACAGCAACAATAAAAGAGAAGAACAGTGAGTTTTTGTAGTAAGGGTAATAATGAAGTTAGGTGTGGGAAATGTATGAAATGTAAAAGCTTGCCCTTGACTATCTAGAGACAGTTGGGCCATTCATAGGAACTGGAGCAGTTGTCAGGGTAAGACAGGGCAAAGAGCTCAGGATATGGAATCAAGGCATCTGGGTTCAAATTCCACCTGTGTGGTCTTGGATACATTATCTGACTGCCCTGAGCCCCAGTTTCCTCCTTTGTAAATTGAGGGGGTTTGCCTTTGACATCTTTTCCAGCTCTAGATCTGGAATTCTATGGTAGCATCACTCAGCATCCCTGGGCTTCAGTTTCCCCTGCTCTGGAAGGATGTAATTGGTCTAGACAGCTCTCGACCTATGATTCCCTGAGTCTATGAGTCTCCAAAGGCCAAATGGAGGAAGGTAGGGTGCTGTTCCTGAGGGCACTTTCAAGGAACTTACCTTGAAGGGAGTGGGATGGGAAATGGGTTTTTGGTTCAACCCAGGATTCCTGCCAGATACTACAGCTCCTTCAGTTATGCAAGGTGAGGGAGCCTCAGTTCTATGATGAGTGATAGGTTAGATAATGTCAGTGAGGTAATATCTCTGGTTTGTATAAAACATACGTTGGCTCTGATTTCGCCTGATTCTGCCTGTTCTTACATTTGTCAATCCAAGAGTTTCCTGAATGACTTCCTAGTTCCAGGAAAGGATGCCATATCAAGAACAATGGTGCTCAACATGGGGTCCAGGGCCCCCAATGAGTCCCTGGACCCTTTCAGGGGCCCTTGAGTTCAAAACTATTTTTGCACAATATTAAGATTTTACATTTATACAATGGTAAATATCAATACTTACAATCCACATAAACAAAAACTCTTTGGGAGGAGTTCTCAATAATTTTTTAGATTGTAAAAGGGTCCTGAGGCCCCCCAAATTTAAGAACTGCTGCTTTAGAAGGCAAGAACTGGATCTGGAGAAAAGAGGGCCATCTGGGAGTAGACTGAGATTACTAAAAGAATAAAGGAAGAATTGGGATGCCAGTACAGAGTCAAAGCCTTCTCCTGGATATGAGTTTACTGAAGAAAGAGGAGGGAAGCTTTTTTAAGCACCTTAATCAGTGGCATGTGACAGCCCTAGGGACTTGCGTTTGGTGAGTTTGAGATAGACAGAGACAGAAAGACAGAGACAGAATCAGAGACTGAGAAGGAAAGGAAGAGAGAGAGAGAGATGAGAGATAGAGAAAAAGGGAGATATGTACATGGAGAGGGGAAGGAACAGAGAAAGGCAGGGAGGGAGGGAGGAAGAGAGAGAGAGAGAGAGAAGGAGGGAGGAAGGGAGGGAGAGAGGAGAGAGGAGAGAGGGGAGAGAGAAAGTCAGTCAGTCAGTCAGCCATTTTTGGAGGTCTAGATACTATGCCAGCAGGAATTAATAGTGGCTAGTCATAGGGCTATCTTTCTAACACAATGCCTGCCCTCATGGAGCTTACAGTGTTTTCTTTATTGATATTAACTAGAATACATGGAAACAACACCCTCTTCTCCTCCCCCCTCCCAAGATTTCTCTGTAGTAATCAGCAAGTCTTTTGTAGGAGGTGAAACCCTCTGAGTCTACTTTGCAATGGGGCCAAATACCTGATAGTAACCGAGGTGCACTGAGCCAGCCTCTTCCCAGCATTCTTCAGTCCAGTGTAGATTTGCCCCATCTCCATGGCTCCCTCCAGTCCCACCACTTCTAGAAGATGGTCACTGAAGTCTGTGGAACATGGAAGTGTCCAAACATCACTTCAAAATTCAGTTAAATGTCAACTACGTGCCAGGCAGCGTCCTCGGCACTGGAGGAACAAAGACCAAACCACAATTGCTCCTGCCTTTAAGGAGCTTACATTCTATTGGTTCATTCAACAAGCAAATTAAGCACCCATGGGACCAGGCAACATGGCAGGTATTGGAGAGAGAAAGATTGGAAACAAAACAGTTCCTGCCTGTTAAGGAGCTTGCATTCTGCTTAGAGAAAAAAAAAAGCAGTTAAGTAAATATGAATACACTACATGAACACAAAATAACTCATTTTGGGGGAGTAGAGTGGGGAGTGCTTACAATTAGGAGGTTGGAGAAAGGCCTTATTTAGGAGGTATTTGAACAGAGATTTGAATGGAGCTAGGGATTCATAGAAATGGAGATGAGGAGAGAGCAGCCTAGGAAATTCGTGAAGGTATAGGGAGATGGAATGTCAATTTCAGAGTACAACAGACATAGACCATGGCCCATTGGAATGGAAAACTTGCCATCCCAAAGGATCTTGTCCCAGGATTGCCAACCAGAGTCCAGCAAAGCCTCTTTGCTTCTTCAGCAGAAATTTTCTCTTGTTCTTTCATATTTTTAGCCTTTTACTAAACATTTTATTAATCAATTAACCAACCCATCAACCAGCTCTTAGTAGGTACCTACTATATGCTAGAAATGTATTCAGAAAAGTTAATATGCAAAAGCTTCTTTGTGGGGGAGGGCACTAGCAATTGGGCAGTCCGTTAGACGGTAAACTCTTTGAGGGCAGGGACCTTCTCATTTTGTCTTTGAATCTGTAGTACCAAGCATGGAGTTTTTGTTGTTGTTTAGTTGTTTCAGAAGTGTCCATCTTCTCGTGACCCCATTTGGGGTTTTCTTGGAAGAGATACTGGAATGGTTTGCCATTTCCTTCTCTAGCTCATTTTACAGATGAGGAAAATGAGGCAAACAAGGTTAAGTGACTTGCCCAGGGTCACACAGCTAGTAAGATGAATCTTCCTGACTCCAGGTCCAACACTCAATCCACTGTGTGCCCCCTAGCACATAGTAGGCACTTAGTAATAAATGCTTGTGGATTGATTGATCAGAAAAGCCCCTGTGTTGTGTAGTAGCAGTACCCTGGAAAAAAGAGAAACTGAGAAGAGACTAATGACCCATTTCTGCCCTTTCTTCTCTACTGAGTAGGATCAGTGAATTCCCATGTTGGCAAGCAACCTTCACATACACATCTGGAAGCCTCCCTTCTTCGAAGACTTCCTGGTGGTTTGCAACATGCTAGAATGTTTTCCTTGTGAGGGCGTCACTGGAGTTGAAGGTTGGTTGGTTTCAGGCAGAGAGATGGAACCTTACAACCTGACTTCTTCTGAAACTCTGAGCCCAAAGCAACAGAGCAGGAAAATTCCTTAAAAGTGTCTGTGTTGTGCATGCTGTATACATTGACCCAACCCCCCTCTCCAGTGACTGACAGGGGAGTCAGAGAGGCCTTCCTGGAGGAGGTAGCATTTAAATTATATTTTAAAGGATAGGTAGGAATTCAATAGGAGAAGATGAGGAGGGAGGACTTTCAGGGAACAGGGTAAGGAAAGGTAGCCCAGGGAGTATTTGGGGCATGTTGTCCATTACTGTTATACACTTACATATGGGGCTTGGATGGGAGGTTGTACCTCAGGAAGTACTAATGAGAACGGGTCTATAGGGGCTATCTCCCAGGCAGGATGTTCCAGAGGGCATAACTGGACAAAGAAGCATGAGACAAAAGACCCTTCCTGTAGGTGGTCCAGCTCCCTCAGCACCGACCCCAGTGCTCAACCCCAATCCTGCCTGGGTCCAGCTCAGGGAGACCCTATGATGGTGAGAAGGTGTAATGTGGAGGTCAGCTTCCATTCTAATGTAGATTTATCAGAGCCACAGTAGTCAGTGGCTGCCAAGGAAGGGGAAGTGAGTTAGGGTTTGGTTAGCCGGACAATGCTTGTGTTTGCCCTTCTTTTATTGACTAAAAACCAATCAAACAATACTTCCTCAATAGCTGTCCCCAGAGTTCTTAATAAAGATAGTTAAACTTAATGAAGATAGTTAAAAAAAAATTATTATGCTGACCACAGACACATCAGCGTTGGCCCGATCTACAGATTGACCAATTCATGTTTGATGGGCATTTTTGGGTGACAAATTTAGCTGGTCTTTCCTAGGATCACTGGGCAGCCTTCCTCATTCCTTTGATTTGCCTTTTCTTTCTCTTCCAGTTCTTCTCTTCCCTCCCCTTTTGCACCCCCCACCTGCAGTGGCTTGAGAAACTCCCATCATTATAAGAAATCATGAAAGGAGAAAAGCTTGTTTAGTAGAAAGCCTTTGGCTCTCTGAAGGAATTCTGAGCCAGTGAACAATGAATGTCTAAACCTCCAGTAATTTAATTAGTTCCCCTTTGAACAAAGCTGAACAAAGAGATTTGAATCAGCATTTGGAAGAACTTACTGAGACATTCAGAGACTACCTCAATATTCAAGGATACATTGAAGAGAGAGAAGGAAGAAGGCAGGAGAGGGGAGGAGAGAGAGGGAGAGGAAAGGAAGAGAGGAAAGAAGACAGTAGAGGATTAGGGGAAAGAGGGAGGAGAAGGAAGAAGATAGGAGAGAAGAAAGGAGATGAGAGGTAGGGAGAGGAGGGTAGAGGGCGAGGGAAGAAGGAGGAGAAGAGAGAGGAGGGAGAGGAGAGGTCAAGGAAGAGAAGCAGAGAATTCAAATCAATAGACATGTATTAAGTGGATGTGCCAGGCACTGTGCTAAGGGTGGAGGATACAAAGAAAGACAAAAACAGTCCCTGCCCTCAAGTAGTTTACAATCTAAGATAGGGAGGAGAATTAAAGGCGAAGAAAATTTGCAAGCAACTACTGGATAATTGAAAATAATCTGTGAGGCACTAAGGGGTTTGGAGAAAGGCTTCTTACAGAAAGCAGGCTTTTAAGCGAGTCTTGAAAGAAGCCAGGGAAGCCAGGAGGCAGAGATGAGGAGGGAGTGAATTCCAGGCATTGGGATGCACAGAATCAGAAGGTGGAGTGTCTTGTTTGAGGAGTAGCAACCAGGCCAGTTACTGGATGGTGGCGTGCATTCAGGGAGTGAGGTGTAAGAAGATCGGAAAGATGGAAAGCGGCCAGGCTATGGGTGGTTCCGAAAGCCAAACAGACGATTTTACATTTGATCCTGGTGGTGATCGGGGCCCCCTGGAGTTTACTGAATAAGAGAGTGACGTAGTCACACCTGCACTTTAGGAAGATCACTTCCATAGCGAGTGGGGGATGGACTGGAGTTGGGGGGCCTTGAGGCCATTCCAATGGACCAGGTGAGGTGATGAGGGTCTGCACCAGGCTGAGAGCAGTGTCAGGAAAGAAGGGGAATATGAGAGCTATTACGAAGGTCAAATCCACAGGACGTGGCAGCAGGCTGGTTATGGTGGAGGGTGGGGTGAGAGCCGGGAGATGAGAGGACACCCAGGTTGTGAACCTGGGTGACTGAGAGGTGCTAACCCTGACCATGACAGGGACATCAGGAAGAAGGGAGGGTGTGGGGCGTGTGTGAAGATAAGGAGTTTAATTTGGGACATCTTATGTTTAAGATCTCTATGGGACATCCAGTTTGAGATGTATAAGACGCATTAGGAGCTGTGAGATGAGTCAAGAGAGATTAGGGCTGGATAAATAGATCTGAGAATCCTCTGCCTAGAGATGATAATTGAATCCATGGGAGCTGACGCAGTCACTGAGCGACCATAGAGGAAGAAGAGTGCCCAGGACAGAGCCTTGGGTGGGTGGGTGGGGGGGGGGGAGAACACCCACAATGAGCAGGTGGAAATAATCAATGAGAAATGACCCCATCTCTTATTTGGGATTCTTTTCTAGGGCTTTCTCCCTTGAGCTTCCAGCAAGGAGGGAGAAGATTTATTTCCCCTGACCCAACTTGTTTAAGAAGTGTGTGGCAATGATGACCTGCCTCCTTGTCTGTTAGTCTAAGGTGGGACCTCGGGTCCCTGACTGCCTTCTTCTGCCTGTTTCTTATGCTACGTGACCAGTAATCCTGAGAAATGGGCGTTTCCAGATTTAGTGGTAACCTTGCAGGTCAAGAGTTCCAGATGTCCAGAATCAGGTATCTGCTGACCAGAGTGGGGAAGGTTCTTGGAGATGACTCCTACCATTGCCAGGAAGATCCTACTGTTGAAGGGAAAAAGAAAGTGAAGCCCAAATGGGAAGGAGAAATGGCCATGACGAGTTGTTGGACAGAGCAGGGCTGAGTTACGTGTAGATAGAAAACATCTGTTCAACTTGTCCACCAAGATGTCTTTGCCTTCCTTGGGCATAGAATTAGTTTAATAGGCTAAGGAGATGTTTTATGTTTCTCTTTCTGTCCATGTGTGCCTCTGAGATGTTTTTAGAAGTTGATGTGGTAGAGGAAATATATACTTGCTTAGAATTTTTTCTAGAAGGGATTTGATTACCCACATTTTGGGGGAAAGGAGAGAGAGTACCTGACCACCTTCTTTGGAGTCAGGCTCCCTTACCCCCTCATGTATAAATATAAATCTGGGGTACATTTAGAGCCCGGAATGGAGCTCCTGAGAGGATGCTTCCTGGGCTGTGGGGTATACAAGAATCCCCTTTGTACTATACTCTACAATGGTCATCTAGTCTCTCCTTGAAGAGGATCACCTCCAGTGAGGGGAAGCCCACAACCTCTTGAAGCTGTCCATTCCACTTTTGGATCACTCCAATGGTTAGGAAGATTTTCCATACATCAACCCTAAATCTTCCTCTCTCCACTTTCTACACATTGCTTGGGTGGAAGCCTAGAGGTTACAATCTCTCACAGAAAGATAGGCTTTGAGCTGGAAAAGATCCTAGAAGTCATCTGGCCTGACTTCCTCCTTCTACTGATGAGGAAACTGAGGCCCAGAGAGGATCAGTAACTTGCCCAAGGTTAC